CACTCACCTCAGCCTCCCAAAGGCGCGGGATTACAGGCTGAACCACCGAGCCCGGCTGAGGATTTTTTTTTTAATGGAGCGTGTTAACAACCCTCTCCTGCCCCAAGGTGTGATTATAGTCTGTCTCTAATTGTCTTCTCTATCATCTTCCAAGATGCCAATGTCCGGCGGTACCTCCAGCTGACACAGTCTGAACTTAACAGCTACCATAGGAAAGAGAAGCAGCTGTATCTGGGCATGTTTGGTTAATGAAGAAAGATGCTCCTCCACTTGAACTTAGGCGGACCATTAAAGACCCATCAAGGGGAAACCTGAGCCTCAGCAAGATAAATTAACTCTGTACCTCCAACCCAGGTGGATTTGTTTGTTCCCAGTTCTGCGCAGACTCTTTACTACTTAAACAGCCTGTGTCTTTTTCTGTGTAAATATCTGTATATTTGCATAGCCTCCAATACATATTATTGTTAGGGATATTTGTGTTCAGAAATACAACCAGAAAACATTCATCAGCTATGGGTGGAATTAGTCATATCTCTGGCATGGATTTTAATGATAGATGTTATTAGATGTAATCATATACAGAGGACAGGAGAGGATGAAATAGTAAAGATACACAAAAAGGAGTTTCTTCTTTGTTTTCTCAGATTCCCAAAACCAAACTGGAAAGAAATATTTTTGGTGAAACTAGAAAATTATAAATTGGACCCAAATTTATTAAAATGAAAGTTTTGAGATTAGCCAGGCGTGGTGGCTCATGCCTGTAATCCCAGCACTTTGGGAGGCAGAGTCAAGAGGATTGCCTGAGCCCAGGGTTCGAGATCAGCCTGGGCAACTTGGTAAGACCTCGTCTCTTCAGTAAATCAAAAAATTAGCTAAGCATGGTGGTGCACGACTGTAGTTCCAGCTCCTTGGAAGACTGAGGCAGAAAGATCACCTGAGCCTAGCAGGCCAAAGCTGCAGTGGCCGTGAGCGTGCCACTGCACTGTAGCCTGGATGGCAAAGTGAGACTCCGAGTCAAAAAAAAGTTTTGAGATTAACCACTTTTGCTTAAATTAATTCCTTATTCTTTTTTATTTTTATTTTTTTTGAGTAAGAGACTCACTCTGTTGCCCAGGTTGGAGTGCAGTGGAGTCACACCATCGTAGTCTTGACCTGCTGGGCTCAGGGGATCCTTCTGCCTCAGCTTCCCAAGTAGCCAAAACTTCAGGCTCACGCCAACACACCTGGCTAATTTTTTGATTTTTATTGTAGAGACGAGGTCTCACCAAATTAACCAGGCTGGTCTTGAACCCATGGACTCAGGCAATCCTCTCTCCTCAGCCTTCCAAAGTGCTGGGATTACAGACGTGATACATCATGCCTGGCTTCTTACACACATTCAGATTTTTTCCCTACAAAAATATCTAATATCTATTTTCTCCTTGTTATTGCTTTATTGAGATTGTTAATGTGGTATACTTATCTTTTCATTAAACTGCTTTATCCTTTTTTTTTTTTTTTGGAGTTGGAGTCTCACTCTGTCACCCAAACTGGAAGTGCAGTGGCATGCTCCTGGCCACTGCAGCCTCAACCTGCTGGGCTCCAGTGATCCTTCTGCTCAGCCTTCCAAGTAGCTGGAACTACAGGCGTTCACTACCATGCCTGGATAATTTTTTGATTTACTGTAGAAAGGACATCTCGCCAAGTTGCCCAGGCGGATCTCGAACCCACTGGCTCAGGCAGTCTACTCACCTCGGCCTCCCAAAGTGTGGGATTACAAACTGAGCCACCGAGCCCAGCCAAAACTGCTTTATCTTAAAACCCCTGGAGTCAAACATTTAAGTATTTATTTAAGAGTCATTCAGCCCTGGTTCCCCCCAAAATCCAATAGATACATATCTATAATATGCTCATTTCTCTAAAAAACACAGAAAAGACAAATTACCAAGTCTTCTAGAAACAATATCAATCAGGCACGGTGGCTCATGCCTATAATCCCAGCACTTTGGGAGGCTGATACCAGAAGATTGCCTGAGTCCAGGAGTTTGAGACCAGCCTGGGTGATCTGGAGAGACCTTGTCTCTACAATACATTTTTTAAAATTAACCAGGCTGGGCTCGGTGGCTCAGCCTGTAATCCCGCGCTTTGGGAGGCTAAGGTGACTGGACTGCCTGAGCCCGCAGGTTCAAGACCCGCCTGGGCAACTTGGTGAGACATCATCTCTACAATAAATCAAAAAATTAGCCGGGCATGGTAGCACACGCCTGTAATTCCAGCTACTTGGAAGGCTGAGGCGGAAGGATCGCTGGAGCCCCCAGCAGGTCGAGGGTGCGGTGGCCGGGAGCAGCCACTGCACTACAGTCTGGGCGACAGAGTGAGACTCCAACTCAAAAAAAAAGAAGGCTGAGGCCTGCCAAGGTAGCTGTGAGCATGCTACTGTACTCCAGCCTGGGTGACAGAGTGAGACTCCTCAAAAAACACACAAAGTCTGTTCTTTACCTGTCATCCCATTATTTTTATTATTTTTTTGAGACAGGTTTCACTCTGTCACCCAGACGAGTGCAGTGGCACAATCCCAGCTCACCACAGCCTGGACCACTTGGGCTCAAATGATTCTTCCACCTCAGCCCCCTCCTGAGTAGCTGTGACTACAGGTGTTCACCTACACAGCTGGCTAATTTTTTTATTTATTTGTTTATTTTTATATAGATGAACTCTCACTATGTTGCCTAGGCTGGTCTTGAGCTCCTGGGCTCAAGTGATTCTTTTGCATCAGCCTCCCAAAGTGTTAGTGTTACAGGTGTGAGTCACTGCATGCAGCCTTGCTTAGTGCCTTTATATTTATTTGTATTTATTTTAATTTTTTTAATTTTTTTGAGTTGGAGTCTCACTCTCGCCCAGACTGGAGTGCAGTAGCTGCTCCCGGCCACCATAGCCTCGACCTGCTGGGCTACGGCGATCCTTCCACCTCAGCCTTCCAAGTAGCTGGAACTACAGGTGTGCACTACCACACCCGCCTAATTTTTGATTTCTATTGTAGAGATGAGGTCTCGTCAAGTTGCCCAGGAGGGTCTTGAACCTGTGGGCTCAGGCAGTCCACTCACCTCAGCCTCCCAAAGGCGCGAGATAACAGGCTGAGCCACTGAGCCCGGCTGCTTAGTGCCTTTTAAGCACCTGATGGAGCCCTCTAGAAGCTGTGTTGGGCATGTGTGCAGGTTGCAGTCTGGTGCAGTTCTGGCTTAGTAGGAGGATCTATCAACGAGGAGCTCCTTTGTCATTCTGTTTTGTTGTCGGATAGTGTCTAAGATGGGTACTACATGTAGATGAGACCATATAGCACTACCTCTGCCTTTATAAGTAGAGGTAATAAACGTGTCATTAGTCATTATATAACCACAGAACAGATTTCAAGGAAAAAAAGCCCTTTGTCCTTTATCAATAACACTCCCTCTCCTGATGAGTTTGGCTTCTCTTTGTTCCTCCCTATGTGTTTACATACAACCATTAGCTTACAGTAACAAAATTTTTCTTTTTTTTCATTGAGCCAGAGTCTCACTGTCGCCCAGGCTGGAGTGCAGTGGCACACTCAAGGCCACCAGAGTTTCTACCTGCTGGGCTCAGGTAATCTTTCTGCCTCAGCCTTCCAAGTAGCTGGAACCACAGGCATGTACCACCATGCCTGACTAGTTTTTTTGATTTACTGTAGAGAAGAGGTCTTGCCAAGTTGCGCAGGCTGGTCTCGAACCCTGGGCTCAGGCAATCCTCTTGCCACGTCCTCCCAAAGTGCTGGGATTACTGGCATGAGCCACCGTGCCTGGCAACGACAAAGTTTTTCTTTTTTCTTTTTAAGTTGGAGTCTCACTCTGTTGCCCAGACTGGAGTGTAGTGGCCGCTCCCGGCCACCGCAGCCTTGACCTGCTGGGCTCCGGTGATCCTTCCACCTCAGCCTTCCAAGTAGCCGGAATTACAAGCATGCGCTACCACGCCCGGCTGATTTTTTTATTTATTTTAGAGATGAGGTCTCCCTGCCCAGGCGGGTCTCGAACCCACGGGCTCAGGCAATCCACTCACCTCAGCCTCCAAAAGGCGCGGGATTACAGGCTGAGCCACCGAGCCCGACTACGACAAAGGTTTTCTACCAGATAATCTTATGAAGTCCAAGAATAGAACTAACATAAGTAGGATATTTTATTCCTCTTCCAAGCTTCTTAAATTTCTAAGCCTAGGTTTGTTGACATTTTGTCATGATTGCATGTTTTATTTGCTTTGGGCTGGTTTTGCTTTCTACTTTGCTTTTCATTTCAAAGACTTAATGTTACAATAAGCTATCTTCTGCATCAATGAGGAAAAAATAAAACTGATATTTAAAAGTACATTTTTGAAATTTATTGCATTAATCCTTTTATTAGCACTGCTAAGAAATCGCACAGTGGTGTAGCTTACTTTTTTTTTTTTTTTTTGAGTTGAAGTCTCACTCTGTCGCCCAGACTGGAGTGCAGTGGCCGCTCCTGGCCACTGCAGCCTCGACCTGCTGGGCTCCGGTGATCCTTCTGCCTCAGCTTTCCAAGTAGCCGGAACTACAGGCTCGCACTACCATGCCCAGCTGATTTTTTCTTTATTGTAGAGATGAGGTCTCGCCAAGTTGCCCAGGTGGGTCTCAAACCTGTGGGCTCAGGCAATCCACTCACCTCAGCCTTCCAAAGGCACAGGATTACAGGCTGAGCCACCAAGCCCAGCTACATTTCAGTTTTTATTTTGAAGCCCAGCTCTTCATAGAGATGTTAATGAACAGGAAAATGGACGAAGGCAGGAAATGTGATGCGGGTATTAAGAGGTCTCACAAGCCCACATCCTGAAGGAATCAGCCACAGAGTGCCCAAATCTCTTTGTTCAGGTTTGTGGAGGGAGAGACTACCTACTTTACCAAGCCTTAATTGCTTCTACACAAGATTTGAGGATTTTGAATGAAGGAAGCATTCCTAGCTGGGCTCGGTGGCTCAGCCTGTAGTCCCGTGCTTTGAGAGGGTGAGGTGAGTGGATTGCCTGAGCCCGCGGGTTCGAGACCTGCCTGGGCAACTTGGCGAGACCTCATCTCTACAATAAATCAACAAATTAGCTGG